GGTAGAGCATAAGTATTACTTCGTATTATTTCTGTTACAGCTCAGTATTAATAAAAATAAACTGGACTGTAATTAAAATTAGGTAAAGGAATACCCATCTTTCACGGAGCTGATTCAGTGATCTTGGGTCCAGCTCACAAAGTACAACACTCTGCAGACAAGTCACTGCAGCTTTATTGCAGCTTCTATCAGGTCAAATATGGGTTTATTTCTGAGAGGCTGAGTTAACTGCAGAGAGCTTTGTGCGTCCCTACCTGTCCTGGGCTCCTTCATGGGTCGACACACCGTCCACTGGTTTTGATGAGGATCGTATCTCTCAATGCTCGACAAGTGAGACACACCATTGTGTCCACCCACTACAAAAATGAAGCCCAGCATGACGCCCACACCAAAGTTTATCCGTTTATCAGCCATCGAAGCAACCGTCTCCCAGGAGTTTTTACTTGGATCGTAACGCTCCATGCTGCAAACACAAACGAGCAACTTGTGAGGCTTGGATGTTAACGACATTTGCATTTCACTCCACAAGAAACCTGCACGTGTCAGAAGTACACCTAGTTCTGCCAACCAGGATTACCACGTGCAGGAATAACGCGATGCAAAGAAAAAGCACTTCAGCTGATGGCAAATTCTGTGGCATAGTTGCTTTGTGCCACCCAAAGGCAGCACACAAGAAACTAAAGTCAGAGTTGTCACCCCAGAAGCATCATAGAATGGTTTGGGTTGGAAGGGACCTCAAATATCATCTAGTTCCAACCCCCCTGCCATGGGCAGGGAAACATCAATCACATCTTACAGTGATGTAAGTTAGTCAGAGCCACTAACACACTCGTGGCACGGAGCCATTCCCTGTCCAAAGTGCAGCACGAGGGGGGCAGAAAAGAGGGAAGAGAAAGCCAGCGGCACTACGGAGCTGGAAAAAAGGTGCTTAATTACACAGCAGCCAGCTATTTCCTCATGCCAGAGCTCATACGAGTCTAGTGACTGCATGGCATGGCGTATTACTCACACCCCTGAATAATTAATAAAATCAAAATTATTCAATAAAAAGTAAATTAAATTTAAAAAGGGAAATAATGAAATATCAGATTCCAGTAACTCTGCGAGAGCTGCTGGCCATTCCTTTCTGACAGAGGAAGAGAGGAGATGTGGCACAAGGAACACAGCTACTGCAGAATTTTAATGCAGAATTTTAACTCTTTAGAAGAGTTTTCCCTGTAAAGGTACCAGCTTGATAAAGTCAATTCCTACCGCTCCAGTGACGAGTCTTACATTTCCCGGAAGGAGGTTACCAAGTTTATCTTCCAAAGTCCTGTGTGCACACAAAGCACTCAACTTTTGGGAACCACTCCTGGCAAGAGCAAGGCCTTGATTATCTCCCGTGTTTTATGGTCTGTGAGAGGATGCTGCAGGGGACTGAGGTCCCAGAGGTGCCACAGCAACTCCTGGTGCACCTGCTCTGCTGTGTGCTGACCTGGCTTTAACCACTACTAAAGCCACCAGTTCTGCGTGGTACAAAGATGGGACCGAGCTAGGAGTGACCACACAGGACAAAAGCACAGCTTAGTTATCCTGGGACAAATTCCTAGGTGAAGAAAACCTAGAGTCAACAGGAAACTTCATAAGATGGTTTGCTTGTCTATTACAGTTCATAATTTAAAATATAAGAAATTAGAACAATGTCACATTAAGTTCCATAAAATCCTGTCACAACCGTACCAAATGGTTTAGGTTATTACTGGTTTTATTTCATTAATTTAAAAAATGATTTGCATTTTCCAAATGAAAACTATTTCACTATACATTCATTATACTTTGCCTCATCCCTGGAAATGTTCAAGGCCAGGTTGGATGAGGCTCTGAGCAACCTGGTGTAGTGGAGGATGTCCCTGCCCATAGCAGGGGGGTTGGAACTAGATGATCTTTGAGGTCCCTTCCAATCCAAACCATTCTGTGATTCTATGATTCTATTTGGGAACTAATCCTTTGCTTCACAAACTGTGTTAGACAGTATCAAGTATAAAAAGTAAGTACAATCAATGACTAGTGCAACGTTGTTATGCTACACTGTTAAACAATCCATGCATCCCTTCCTATCAGCAAGATTTTAATTTTTAGTGTTTATTCAGCTATTTGGGCTTGTAGTTTATTAATTTGCTTCCCAGAGGGACATACAGCTGATGTGTTCCCATTTTAATAAGGAAAGGAGAGCACAGATGATTTCTTTGCATAACTGAAGGCCCCTGTCCATCTGTACAGAGCGATGTAGAACAGAACAAGCGAAGAGCATGCTGGTACCAGGAAACCTCTCTGTGAAGAACGTCTGAAGCAAACTCATAAAATCATAGAATGGTTAGAGTTGGAAGGGACCTCAAAGATCATCTAGTTCCAACTTCCTCCAACCCACTTCTACCTAGGAGCCAGATCAGTTGCCATCACCCTGAACTTTATTAAGACTACTTCAAGATTCCATCTAAGGTGTATGTTTATTTTGTCTATATTAAGTACGTGAAAACTCCTACTCATTTTAAATCAGCATTTTCCATGTTAAAGCTAACCATGCATCCTAACATTCTGCAGGCTCGAGGTACGAGAAGCTGTGCTGGCACAGTGCTGAGGAAGCCTCTCCCGAGAGGTGCAGCACCATGACACGGACACAAGCACACTACACTGCCTTGGGACCTGAGCAAACACAATCCTGATCTGCTGAGCTAACCAGTTTGGGTGTCTACAAGGTCAGGAGTCTTGCACCACCTTGCTTAGTAACATGCATACATGTCTTTGTCTTCACCATTTTCCCTTCTTTGGGATTGAAAAAAACAACCACCCCAAACCAGCTCTGAGCTGGAACACGTAAAGAGAAGTTAAAACAAAGATTTCCCAGCTGAATTATCGGACTGATATTGCAGAACAAGGATTAACGAGGTCTACTGTGGATTACCAATCTATTTTAGAACAACTTTTAATTGGCTGCCAAACACAAGCTTACCAGTGAGTGCTGATTTCCAGCTTACAACATCGACCCATGCACACCAGAAGCACGTACCTGTTCATATGGGCAGGCCCATAACCCCCGATGGCATATATCATCCCGTCCAGGACAGCCGCAGCAAAACAACTCCTCGTTTTGTTCATCGGGGCCACTGGCTGCCATTCCTTCACTTTGGGAATGTATTTCTCCACAGTTCGCAAATACGACTGCCCGTCATAGCCACCCAAGGCGTAGAGCTCTCCCGCCAGAACCACCACTCCCAGTGTACTCCGGCTCTCAAACATCCTTTCCAGAGACGTCCAAGTGTTCGTGTCAGGATCCCAGCACTCCACGGAGTTCTCGTGCTTCCGGTAACTGATGCCTTGACACACGTGGGTTGCAATCCCTCCTACGACGTATATTTTCTGGTCCAGGACGCATATTCCAAACTCATAGCGGGGAATGCTAAGAGGGGCCAGGCCTATCCAGGAGTCGTTCTGGGGAAAATACATTTCAACGCTGAAACAGAAGAACAAAGGTTACTGAGCAAACCTAACTTTGTGAAGGTCTGGGAGGTGCAAATGATATCAAGGAACACAGCCTTAACATTATTTCCCATGTACCATCCGATGCCTGGTGTTTCTTCCAAACATGAGCTAAAA